TCTGTTCTACATGTAACCTGCATCTACATAACCACCCTGCCTTCTTTCTCCTATCACAATTTAAATCTTGTATCAATTTAATTACCCCATGCATCTGATGAAGTAAGCTGTAGCTCATGAAAGGGAGGTAAAATACAGGCAGTAGAGTTACTGGCAGTGTTTTACTTGCAGTAGAATGGGAAGCCGGAAACTTCTTTTAGCATTCTTATAAGTTAATTTGGCTGTTTTCTGATACCTAGCTAATAAAGTATCTATAGATTAATTGTTCCTGTGAGTTGCCCTGCAGTACTTGAATGTGCAGTAACAAGATTTAACTTATATGGATTTGGCCCAGTAACTTCACCACAGAATATGTCATACAGGGCCTCATGAAAGAATTTTCCTCAGAGGGCCTCTGCAAATATGTTGGAGATGGGCCTTGAACTCTTGGCTCGGAATTGGCTTTTCCGTAGCGGAGACGGTAGTAATGCTACTCATTGATCTAGAGACGTGCAGCCTGAGGTTTTTTCAGTGCGTACACAAGCTGCCTTCTTGTACACTGAAAATGAGAAGTGTTCTTCTGATAATTTTGCCAGTTGAAGTAAATCAGCTGCACTTGAGAGAGAGAGCAAAGGTTCAGATGCTGTGTGTGATTTCCCCCTCCCTTCTTCTCTTTGTAAGAGAAGAAGAGAAGGTTTGTTTACTTTATCTGGCTTATGCAATGTTCTAAGCAAAATGGATTTTTTTTTTATTTATTTAAAATATTTGGGACCTGGGATTATTAGGGAAATTATTCTAAAGGGGGAAAAAAAAAGACAAAAAGATTGTGAATGCTGGATAATAGCATTCTGTTGGATAACAGAAAATATTGGTTCCTGCATTTATATAGAAATAATCACAAAATTATTGGCTTAAAACCAACTCTTTTTTAGCTGCTCACGTAGAAATATTTTAATTGTGTGTGGGGTGAATGAGCAAGTAGTGTGTAGGCTTTGGAATTCTATTTGTATTCCTATGAACTTATTGCTCATGATTAACAGATATGATAAACCCAAATTAATACATAGCTATGACAGAGTATGTGTATACATGGGGAAAAAATCTCCCCATGTTTCCATACAGATTGGTTCCTAAAGGAGAGAATAAGCTGAAAAAAATCCACTGTATAAACTGTAATATTGACAAATCATTACCACTTCCTCTCTGGAAACAGAAAGAAAATATGAACTCACCTATTCAATATACGTGTTATTTCACTTTTGGATTCTTAGCTTAGCCACCACCTTAATCATTATTGATAAACCAATAACCAAAGCATATGCAGTTATGGCTTTGATCAGATTTAGAATGCAATCCTACATATTTACTTGAAATAAATCCTACTGATTTCAGCCCCACCATGCTCATAGAAATTTACTTTTGAAATGATTACTATTTAGGTTTTTTTTTTTAAATCTGATAATATATTTGCAATGCAGTCTTAAACTTAACATCAACATAGTTTACACCCAGGTAGTAAGTCAGTCAGATGAGCTGAAGGGATTCCTGCCATGAGAATGGGAGAACAGTAGAAAAAGCAGAAAGGAAGAAGGGTTGGAGCCAAATATATTTTTCCCTGTTAAGTGTAAAACTATTAATACTTGACTCTTTGGAAAAAAGTTGGTCATCTCTACTTTCTGTAGGAGATTGTTTGCAGAATATAGTACATCGTTTTTAATTCTTAGCAAAGGTGGACATTACCTTGTTGTCTCCACTATTTAAATAGCCTGCATTTTCAGTGGGTCATTTTTGTTGGTCATTTTTTCAGTGGCTTTTTGTTGGAAAAATTTGGAGCTACAGAATACTATGTATACTTTTGGTAATACGTAACTGAGAGCCAGTTTGGTGTAGTGGTAAAAGGCACCAGGCTAGAAACTGGGAAACTCTGAGTTCTAGTCCTGGCTCAGGCACGAAGCCAACTGGGTGACTTTGGGATAGTCACTCTCTCTCAGCCTTAGGAAGGAGGCCAGGGCAAATTACTTCTAAAAATCTTGTCAGGAAAACTACATGGACTTGTCCAGACAATGACCACTAATGACTTGAAGGCACTAAATAAACAAAAAATGTGTATGGTTACAATTCTTCTGCGTTATTCAACACATTCTATGAAATGACAGTCTTTAAGTTTGCAGAAGCCAATGATTTTTTGGTTCTTTACATTATTTACAACACTAAAAAGAGGCATTTACTTCAAAGAGGTAGTCACATATTTTATTTGCAGTTTTTAGGGTTTAGAAGTTTCAAGGTTTGGTTATATATCAATAATGCTGTTGTATGACTGCCTATAGAACACACTTTATCAATCCCTTTTATCATTACCAAAATTATAATGCAATTAAATCCAAGCAATGCTTATAAAATGTTGCAAGTTTACTTAGATTTCCCACAGTTCTGAACAAAGAGCTATATTACGTTAATTGTGTGAGTTGGTAGATATTTCTTATATATTACAAATGGTGTGAGGGGAATATTCTAGCATCTACCTTTACCTAGTAAGGCATGGTAGAAACCAAATATGTCAATACATGTAAATATTAATTCATTGTATTCCCAATCAGTGGAACAGTTGCCTTGCTTTTTTCCCCTGTTAATTAGGCTCAGGTTTCCAGGCAGATGTTGAAAGAGGCTTTTACTCATTTATTATATCTTTACTATATATGTTTAGTGGGAGCAGAGAAACATGGTGTTTCTGATAATAATAGTAAAATATAGCTAGTAAGGCTAAGGTTTTAAACAAGTAAATAAGGGACCTAATAATACACCGACAGGTATCATGAAACAGATGCTTTATTTAATGATAAGTAGCCTTGGGATGCTAAGTCTTGAATAGAAAGTGTAAGGGAGATTCGTAATCCTCAGACTACTAAATCTCTGTCATACAGCAGCAACATTTCTCTTTAGGATGGTTTTTTTTTTTTTTTTAATATAAGGTACTTTTACTTTCCCCAGGGAGGAAGCTGTATTTTGTATTTCTGGAGCAAATTTGGTTTAAGTCATTGGTATCAATGATGTTTTTATTCCAGTAAATCCTCAATTTAATGCTCCTTGGTTTAGGAGACTTTAGATTTAACTGACTAAATGTACTGTATCTACAGTATGTGTTGTCCAAATTTCAAACAAATCAGTTTAAACAATGTTCACTGCTTCTCCTTGGCTATTCATTGTTATTGGAAAATAAGGTTTTCTCACATATGTTTTGAGGTTTGAAGAATCCCATTTGACTTTAATAGCCTGTTAAACCAAGGGTTTACTATAACTTTTGAGATCAAAGCCATCATAATAGTCTATGGCCATTAAGCATTTTTGGTGAATCAGCTGAAGAGCCTGTTTATGACTTAATAGGCTTCTGTACTAAATGGAAAACATGGGTTATAAAACTATTTTAGACTAGTTTTGAACTCATATATGAATGTAAAAACTGTGATTTTTTCCCCGTCTTTAGTGTCTTCAGCCATTTAAGTCAATTCTCAATTTTGTTTTCTAAGTAATTTTTTAGACGTATATGTATATGCTCATTTTAAATACTTGTCTGCATCTTCAGTAGAAGGCATAACACTCATTTAAAAGGAAGGCAGGACTACTTACCTAACAAATATTCTAGTTTAGAGTATATAATGTCAAAGGGATAGAGATTTTTGTGACACTCTGTTGGATTCCAACCCTGTGCTCCTGGAAGCATGTTGCATAATCAGAAGTACAGTAATAGGAATTATAATCTACAAACTTTTGAAAGGCCACAGATTTCCCTGGTATAGAGGAAATTCACACCCATGCCATTTTGAGCCATTTAGCAAGGAAAAGGAACATTTGCAAGTAGGTAGTCTTAGACATTGAAAACATAATAGTCTTGGAATAATTGTGTCATATCCTGAATTATTATCAGTGTCAATTTGCATTTGCAGCAGGATAAGGTATGATGGATATTGCCCTATGAGGGAGATCTCTAAATCTCTACTGAGAATCCAATTGCTCCCTCCCTTACTCATGGGGACTGTTTATTTAGCAATGCTGCCAACCATTTCCTTTTCTTCCAAGAAATCCCTCTCTGCTCCGATTTACTCAGCAGAGTCCTTATCAGAATGAAAGTCACTGCTTCATTATGAATTCAAGTCTTTAATGAAAAAGAAAAGTAGGACTATCCTGAAGAGGTTGAATTCACTCAACCACTATCCTAATGGGCACACATGTGCACACACACACACACAATATAGAATAAAGTTACCATGGCTCAAATCAGATTTCATAAAATAAAAGTGAAATGCTAATCAGCTTGTCTGTAGACTACTATATAGGTTCTGGATCACCAACCCAGATTTCATGGATTGGGGTCTCTTTTCTTAAGTAGCACTTAGACAGCACTAGGAAACACTTTGATGGATACAAAGGACTGTAGGCAAAAGCAAAACAGGGCTGTTTCTCTCCTCTTAAAATCTCACCTGAGAGGGAAATCTTCTCACTCACATTCTATTGTTCAGAGTTTGATTTTCCCAAGTTTTGATTATCTCTGCCCATTACCTGGGTGGACAGATCAGATTCAGATCCCCCCCCCACTATTTTGTGCTTGAATGTCCTGTATTGGGATTTCTCCCATTCACTTCAGTCTGTTTGTAATATAACTGTGAAGGTAATAGTCATATATGTTTATGCAATATATTGATGATTTATTGGGATTATTCCAAAATATTGCCATAGATTTTTGGGTATGGATGCAAAATATTGTTCCAAGGAAGTGTGTTCTATTAGCCTTTCTATTTCAGTTCATATGGGACATTCAGTCAATTTAGTAATACCTATTATGTACACAGTGCATCTTATTTATAAAAAAGTTAAACGACATTTTTAGGTTTTTTCTTAAAAAATAAGCCTAATTAGCTTTATTTTTCCATGTAAGTATCCAGACCTTAATTTTAAGCAAACTGAAGAATAACTTGTAGGCTGATAAATTATTCAAACATCATGATTGTCTTTTTCCCCCTGTTTAGTCAAGTTAATACTTCAAGCTGAAGAGAGAGGCATAGTGTCGATCAAAGGTGTACGTGCAAACCGTTTCCTTGCTATGAATGAAGATGGGCGATTGTTAGCACTGGTAAGCAAATGTCACAACATTTTATTTTTTCCTTCTCATAATTAAATTAAGGTTTTAGGACAGAAGCTTTAATATAAAGC